GGCCCCCTTAAAGGCACTGGGTGGAACAGGTAAGTGGCTGCAGCCGCTCGCAGGAAGCTGGGAGGCCGCAGCTGAGCCAGTGCCCGAAGGGCTGTCCTGGAGGCAGAGGAGCCGGAGGCAGGCCCTGGCAGGGAACCCCTAGTGTCCAGGCCCCAGGGTGAGAGACATGGGCAGGCTGGTCTGGTTCAGCTTTGCAGGAGGATGTGGACAGATGCGATGTCTCTGGAGGCCACCCCTGTGCAGAGGGTCACCTAGGATGTGTGCATGTGTGCGCGTGTGTGCGTGTTTGCATGTGTGTGCGTGTGTGTACACACACGTGTATGCCTTGCGCTCCTGGGGGGAGAGCTGTCTCGGACCCCAGGAGGCAGCCGCGAGCTCACAGCCACTCTTGCCTCCGTCTCTCCACCTCGTGCAGTTGCTGGGCCCCAAGCCGACTCTGCCTGATGGTCCTGATGACACGGTCGAGGTGGACATGAGCAACCGCAGGATGGCCAAGCTCTACAAGGTGAGCCTCGGCCGCTGTGTCCCCTGGAGCAGAGCCAGGGCAGGGAAGTGGGAGACCTGCTCTTCACAAGCTCCGGGGTTGGGGGCCTTCAGCAGAGTCCCTGGGGGTGGAGTGGATGACGCAGATGACGTGTAAGGAGGTGAAGTCAGCCTCGGGCTTGGCCGGTACGTGTGGTGGGGCCCCCCTGAGAAGGATTTTAGGGATTCCCCCAGAGAAAACTGACAGCCAAGTAACTTAGGAAATGGGCCATGTGGGGTGTGGGCTGATAACTTCACTTACCATGTCTTCCTTGTGACGTAAATCTGAACTGAGGCATGAGCTAAGAGGCTGCTGGCTGAGCTCTGTGAGAAAGCCCGGGCTGGCCCGTGACAGATTCTTTGTACCCAGGGCTTAGTTGTGGTAAAATAACAACAAAATGGGACCCAGAGTCTCGTCACCTCCAAATAAAACGACGTTACTCTGATGATAAAGTAATGTTCGTTCATAGTGCGAAAGAACAGTACTGAGGATTCTAAGAAGTCGATGCCGTCTCACTACTTTAAGATAATGAGTCCTGTTTTTCACGTATTTTCACTACAAAAGTAACATGGCTGAATTAAAAGAGCCTCTCTTCCTCATCCTCTCCATGGGTTACCATGGTTACAGGGTTGCCATGTTGGTGAAGACCATCCAGACACAGCTCTCTGGGTCTAATTACCTCCATTTCCATCCCTCTTTAATATACGTGGATCTGAACTATGGGTGCCTTTCTGGGGTCTTCTCTCCACTCACTGAGGTCCGGGAAGGCTTTCTCTGCCAGACATCCACAGGCCCTTTAGAGAGCTACGTAGTGTTCACTTTATGAAAGTAAGACTATCGGGACCCCTGAGCGAGGGACGCTAGGGCATTTCTCCTTTTTCTTTTTTTGTTTAAACATTTATTTAGTTATGCATGCAAGAGCTGGGATGTAGGGCAGGAGAGGATTCACCAGAGACCGAGCGGGGGACAGAACAGGCAGATGTGCTGAAGTGCACTGCTGAGGGGAGCAGCGGGCAGACAGGAGAGGTCTGCTGCGCCTTGGGGGTCAGCTCCCTGGCCAGGGATGGAACTTGTGCTGCAGTGGCTGCCTGATAGCTTCATCGTGTTGAGACTTTAACCCCTGGTGCCCCCAGGAAGGCCCACCAATCTCTTAAATTTTAACTAATATGGTATCCTTGAAATTTTGTGTGTGCGAACTTTATTTTGGAATAATTTTTAGGTTCATAGAAAATTTGCAAAGATAGCGCAGAGGGTCCCACACCCCCTTCACCCAGTTTCCTCTTAACATCTCAACATAACCAGGCTCCTTTGTCGAAAGCAAGACATTAACCTCAGTTCAGTACTTCTAACTAAATATGAATTTCATCCTGATCCCTCTGTTTTTCACTCCGGCTCCAATCCAGGGCACTGCGTTGACTTGAGCCCTTTTTACTTTGGTTTTTGACTACCATTTTATTTTTTGTACTGAGGGGGTTGCGTCTCCCTCGGCCAGGATACACAGTCCCCCTGCACTTCACCCCTCCCCCTTCCCATGTCCACGTTGCACCTGCCTGAGAGTCATAGGCGCGGCTCCCCTCCCCCAAGCAGAGGAGGAAATGGAGCCCGAGTGCACCTCGGAGCGTAAGGTGCAGCTCCAGGTGGGGGTGGGAGGTGGGTGACCCCCGTGTTAACTCGGAGGTGTCCTTGCAGCCAAAGCAAGCCGATCACTGACAGACCTCCCTGTCCTTCTCCCCCCAGGTCTCCAATAGCGCAGGGTCCATGGCGGTCTCCCTTGTGGCTGACGAGAACCCCTTCGCCCAGGGGGCCTTGAAGTCAGAGGACTGCTTCATCCTGGACCATGGCAGCAATGGGAAGATCTTTGTCTGGAAAGGTACCTGGGTGGGGAAGGCTCCACCTGTCCTGGGGGGCCTCGGCCTTGCAGGAAGGGCTCAGGACAGTGTATCCCCGGGACCCGGGGCAGTGGGGCTGCCTCCTGAGTGGAAACCAGCAGGTTTGTGCCAAAGCCCTGCCTTTGCAATGACTTGCTGTGCCGCCTCGGGCTCTCAGCTCACCCTCTCTGGGTCTCATGTTCTCCGCCTGGGCCCCAAGCGTGCTAGAACTCCAGTTCATTGGTATCAGGTAAAAAAAAAAAAAATACGTGAAAAAGAGGAACAGTTCTGTGGTGGAATAACTTTTTTTTAAAAAGATGTATTTATTTATGCTTACAGAACTGGGGTACAGGCCAGAGGTGTTGTGGGTGAGAGGAATCACCAGAGACAGAGTGGGGAGCAGAACAGGCAGAAGGACTGAAATACACTGCTGAGGGGAGCAGTGGGAAGACAGGCGAGGTCTGCTGTGCCATGTGGGTCAGCTCCCTGTCGGGGGATCGAACTCATGCTGCAGTGGCTTTGGAGAGCTTCATAATGTGATGCTTTAACCCATTGTGGAATAATTTTATGGGCACCACGGGGTTAAGTAGTGTCGACAGGGTTGTTCGTTGCTGGACTTATAAGAGCCTTTAACTTGTTAATAGATGCTGGATCATTTCATGTAGGTGTCCTGGGGTCCGTGGGACTCTGCAATGTCTAGAGACTGATGGGAGAGACTGTTGGAAACACAGACTCTGATGTTTCTGAGGCTGTTTCTCCCCACGCCCCCTGGCTAGTCCCAGCTGAAGGGACCAGGAGTGGGAGGCCAAGGGTGGGTGGAGAATGGTGATGAGGGGTGGGGCACATAATCTGGGCTCTCATGGCTACCATTCTTATTATTTTTAAAGTTTATTTACTTATGCATACAGAACAGGGGTACAGGCCAGAGGAGCAGGGGTGAGAGGGTTCACCAGAGACAGAGTGGGGAGCAGAACAAGCAGATTGACTGAAATACATTGAGGGGAGCAACTGGCAGGTCAGGAGAGGTCTGCCACGCCATGTGGGTCAGCTCCTGACTGGGGATCGAATATGTGCTGCAGTTAGCTTCATAGTGCTGTGCTTTTAACCTGTTGTGCCACCAGGGAGGGCCCTCACCATTATGATTATTGTTGTTGTTGTTATTATTGTTATTATCACCATCATCATCAGTCCGATCACCATCTGGGCCCTTTGGCCTCGGTAGTGAGAAGCCTGGGCACTGAGGCCTTGTCCAGGCAGGGGGAGGCCCTCAGGCCTGGGTGGACTTCAGGCTGTGCAGTAACCCCCTTCCCAATAACCAGATGGCCCGGCGGTGTGAGTTGCCGCCTTCCCACCTGTTGAGTGGCTTTGGTCAAGTCACTTGCCTCTCTGAGATCCTCATGTCCTTATAAATAAGTGGGGGCAAGATAATAATGATCTTGATAACTTACAGTTGTGGGAACGAATGAGATCGTCACCATGGCATGTCTGCCAGTGGACCCCCGTGGTCGCCTTCATCAGCCATGTCCCCCCACTGCATTTCTGGGTGCGCATAGAGTGGTCAGCTCAGGGGCTCTCTGGCCTTGGCTGTCGATAGTCAAGAAGGATAAGGAGGTTTGACGCTGCTTTCTCGACCACTGGATGTTAAGGCGCTGCACTGGTGCCTGGCCCCTGACTTCCCTTGCCCTTTCTGGCTGCCTACAGGCAAGCAGGCCAACATGGAGGAGAGGAAGGCTTCCCTCAAAACAGCCTCTGACTTCATCAGCAAGATGGGCTACTCCAGACAGACCCAGGTGAGTCTTGGAGGCCAGGTAGGACATGAAGATGGGTCCTATTTGGGTGGGGGAGGGCGTCTGAGGCTCCCTGAAGACCCCTGTGGGGTGACCGCTGGCCTGCAGGGACCCGGAGCCTAGCCACATCCTGCTCACGCCCTCTGCCTCCAGGTCTCCGTCCTTCCTGATGGCGGCGAGACCCCGCTGTTCAAGCAATTCTTCAAGAACTGGCGCGACCCCGACCAGACAGACGGCCCCGGCCTGGCTTACCTCTCCAGCCACATTGCCCACGTGGAGCGGGTGCCCTTCGACGCTGCCACCCTGCACACCTCCACCGCCATGGCCGCCCAGCATGGCATGGATGACGATGGCACTGGCCAGAAGCAGGTACTGGGGGACCCGGGGGGCCGGGGTCCAGGCCCTGCCCTGCCTCCTGAGGGAATCTGTCAGTGAGGTTTTGACTAGTCTGGGGAGATGAGATTCCTTCATCTCATTTATTTGTGGAACCAGCATACCTGAAGCCCCTGTGTGCAAGTGGCTCAGACACCGCCTGGCCTCTGGGGGTGTCTGGTCTGGGAGGGGAGATGACCGTGGCCACAGCCACAGCTCAGACTGGGTGGCCAGCGGAAGATGGGAGCTTGGAGCTGAGGGCAGTGTGGAAAAGGGCAGTGGCCATCTTGTGGCCATCTTCACAGAGATGGGGCCCTTGGGTTGGGTCTCAGAGGATGAGGAGCTTGTTGCTGGAAAGGGAGAGAGGAGAGTAGGGGGCTCCCCGCAGGGAGCAGCTGGGGCCTAGCACAGCCGGCATGCCCTGGCCGAGGGGAGATTCGACCCTCTAGGCAGTTGGTGCCTGCGTGAGCTTATGCTTCTTTTCCGGAAAGCACAAATATGATAGGTCTGTTCCGTGCTTCAGAAAGTCACTACAGAATGGCTTAGAGGCAGGAACATGAAGATAGAGACCATGATTGATCTAGGGGAAAGAAGGCGACCTTGACACCAGGAAGGTCACAGTGAAAATGGAGAGGTGGGGAGAGAGGCCCAGAGATGTTTATGAGGTGGAATCTGCTTTTGGAAAACTCAGATTCATCCCACAAGCTAGAAATAGCAAGTAGTAATTTTTATATATTATTGTTTTTGTTACTCATTCATTCTTTCAGTGGGAGGGGAGAATGCATTGCAAATATTTGGGCCAACGCCTTGTCAGACCGTGGGCGAGTTATTTAACCCCACCAGACCACACTTTCCTCACCTGTGAAATGAAATTTAATCCCTTTCCATCACTTTCAGGAATTTTCATGGTCCGGCGATTTTTGGGGTTGTTTCCCTGGGAGGCTCAGTGTCTCTGCGGAGCCACCAGGTGGCGCTACAGAGCTGCCTTGCCCGTAGTCTTTCTGTGGTCACCTGCCAGGTAGAGATGGTCCTGCCCCCAGAGGTGGCTGGTAACATCCAGACAACTCAGGATGAATTCAGTAATGATACAGAGAACCAGTCTAACAACCAGCGTCACTGTCCTCTGCAGAGCTAGCGCCCTGGGCCGGACACTGCTGGACTCTTGCATAATGAGCTCATTTGATCCTCAGGACAGCCCTTTAGCCAGGCGGCAGTCCTACGAGTCCCACTTTCCAGCTGAGGAAACTGAGGCTCATACAGGTGAAGCGAGTTGTCCAAGGCTGCATGACCTCTAAGGGGCTGGAGCCTGATTTGGAACCTGGCTCATTCTAAACACCATCCCAGAGCTGTGAGCAGGCAGTTGGTGGGGGGAGGGAAGAAGGAGCAGGAGCAGGGTCGGGAGCTGGAGGCCTGGGTCTGAATCTCAGTGGCTCTATGATTTGGGAAACTTATTAAACCTCCCCTTGGTCTGAGCAGTCGCCTCTGCCAGACTCTTCCTGTTGCGGAAGTGGCCTGAGTCCAAGGTGGGGGTGCTGTGCTATGTCTGAGCCCAGCTTTGCTCTGGCAGATCTGGAGAATTGAAGGCTCCAATAAAGTGCCCGTGGACCCCTCCACATACGGCCAGTTCTACGGGGGAGACAGTTACATCATCCTGTACAACTACCGTCACGGCAGCCGGCAGGGCCAGATCATCTACAACTGGTGGGTCTGCGGCCCTGTGCTGAGTGGAGGAGCGTGTGGGAGACCCGCTGGGCTCTGAGCTTGGCAACAGGGGAGGGAGGGGGGCAGGGCTGAGGGTGCCTGAGGAGGGGTGGGTGCACTCTTGGTGGGAAAAGCTCAAACCCACAGGAAATACCTCTTGTCTTATTTCAGGACAGCTTTGAAACTGTTCTTATGAAAACTGCCCCTGTCCGTTGTAGGAATTGTGGTGAACAGGGAGAAATGCACACAAAATCTCTCAATTCCATGCTAAGCACTGTATGTGCAGAGGCTGATCCTGGCATGCTTTCTAATGAAAAATTACTCTTAATTCTTTCAAAAGAGAAAGTACATTCACCTGCTAGAAAAATCAAAAGAGAGTAAAAAGGTATCCAGAAATTTTTTTCTACCCTGCCCCGTCCCCCCCCATTCTCCAGTCCCATTTTGTCATGGGTAACCCCTTTCATTAGTTTCTTGTACATCCTTCCTTAATGCAAAGATAAGCAATTTTGGCTGTATGTTCTTAGTTTTCCTCCTGCCTTCCACAAAAGATACCAAGCTATATGTATTGCTATGCTTTGCTTTTTTTTCTTTAACTTACTATAGCTTTGATATTGGTCTTTGTCAGTATACAGAATGTCTTTGTGCTTTTCATAGCTGCATACTATTCCTTTTGGGCTATATGGTCACTTATTTAGAAAATTCCTTGCTGGTGCATGCTTGGATCGAACCCATCCTTCCCCATGACAAGCATTGCTGTGGTTAGTAATCTTAAATAAACATCGTTTTGAATGTGTAGAGAAATGTCTACAGAGTAAATTCCTGGAAGTGGGGTTGTCAGGTTAAAGAGTAAATATGTTTGTCACTTTGATAGATAGTTCTTTGCATTGCCACCAGCAAAGAGTGAGAACCTGTTTCCCAGCTCATGTTAGTGAGCTTTTGAGTATTTTCCCAGCTTTTAGTTTATAGGATGGTATCTTGGTTTACTTTTAACTTGTGTAGCCCTGACTATATGATCTCAAATTATGTCTATGGCTGACTGGATTTCTATTTAAATTTTTTATTTTGAAATAACTTTAGACTGACTTTAAAGTTATAAAAATAGCACAACAGTTCCTGTACACCTATTATACAACCTCTTCTAAGTTCCCTTCTAACGACAGTACAATGATCAAAACCAGGAAACTAACATTGCTGCCAAACTTTTAATATGTTCTAAGCTGTAGGCCTTTCTTGACCTTTACCAGTTTTCCCACTTGTCATCTATGCATGCCAACTCTGATTGATGACCTGGATTCTTTGGATGCATCCTGGTCAGTTATTTGCTAGAATGCTTCTCAATTTAACACCCTCAGACTTAAAAACAGCTTAAAATAATTTTTTGACTTGGAAATACATATACATGATAAAAAAAAAAAACCACAGGAAGGCATTAAAAAGAATCAGTGCATCCGCATATCCATTTATCTGACTGCTTGCTTGTATAGGTGACCCTCGGGAAAATTAGCTTAGGAAGAGGTGGGGTAGGAAGCACCCGCCCCCCACCCCCCCACCCCTGCCTGCGTCCTGGGTCTGTGTCTTAGAGCACCTTTCTTTGTGGCTGCCCAGCGTGGGCTGCCCTGCTGGCCCCACAAGGAACAAGGACGCCCCAGGGGCACAGGAGGTAAGATGCTGCACTGAGGGTGTGGCCTGGCGTGTTGGCTTGGCTCCTAGCTGGCGGTTCTTGAGTCTTCCCTCTGTGGTTCAGTTTCATTGCCCATCATATGGAGATCTGCGGCTTCTCCGCCCCAGAGCAAAGGGGAGACTCAGGTTTTGGGGCATCTCTGTGCTGACTTCACTTCCTCGTGCAGGCAGGGAGCCCAGTCCACGCAGGATGAGATCGCTGCGTCGGCCATCCTGAGTGCCCAGCTGGATGAGGA